AAAGAAATGTCAGGGTTAGCAGATGGTGCAACTTGGCCACGGTTCCTGTCCTCCACCCGGTGGCTGGGGACTCACGCCAGGCTTGTGAATGGTGCCCCAAATCCCGAGAGGAGGATGGCAGAGAGGGGATTGAGGCGGGCCCATCTCCCTGGGGGTGCTTTCTCTCTTTGCCTCCAGCGAGCGCACACACCCATAGAGATGCTTACAAATAAACAGCTACCACGGGCTTCCCGAGGCAGAACTGGCGTCGCTAGCTGAGTGGGCTTGGCAGGCCCGCGAGGGAGGATTTGGACGGATTCCCCAGACGCTGTGCCCGAGCCGCCCCCTGCCTTCGTCCCAGGGTCTCACAGGTGTTAGTTTAGGCCTTCGCTCGCTGTTTCCCTCCGAGATCTCTGTGTGGCCCACCCCTGCGCATCGGCTCCACCCCCCCCTCTGGCCGTGTCCCTGAGCTGCGTGTGCCTCGTGCCGCAGGCTCAGTGAGCTGCCTGTGCAGGGCGTGCGAGCCACGTTGGTCTTCGGCTAAGCCTGGCCTGTCGTGTCGCTGTGCTGCCGATAAACCAGCCACGCTTCCCTAAAGAGAGCATCTCAAAATGCTTTCAGGTCCACTTGAATTTAGGGATGTAGGAACGTGGATGCGGCCAAGTGGTGTCGGTGGCAATGCAGCAGACCCCTGCAGGCCGCGTCTCGGGTTCACGTCCCAGGACTTCCCTGAGCGTGCTGGATCCGCACGCCCGTGATCCAGGCTGGCCAGAACTGGGGGGTCATGGCGAAGACCCTGTTGGGAGCGTACCTCATGCCTCTCAGGGCAGTAAGCGTAGAGCACCTCATAACATTAGCGAGCGTGCATGCGGGCAGCAGGTGGCACGGTGGCTGAGGTGGTGGACTCCCACGTAGTCGACCGTGGTTCGAGTCCTTGACCTGATGGCTTGCTCTCTCTCTTCCGCTCTCTGATGAGTGCATGTGCCCTATAGCAAATTAAGGAATATTAATAATAAGTTAAATAAATATTTAAAAAAATAAAAGTGCAGAGTGGAGGCGGTCCTGTGTCCTGGAGGTTAGGGTGGCTGGATCCCACATGGCCAACACATGACGCAAATCCCAGACCTGGTGGCTTGAGAAACAAACCGAGTGTGGGTGTGCACGCATCCGAAATCCCAGCGCTACGGAGAGATGGAGGAGACTGTGGCTTGACCGTTCCCCAGGGAGGTACTAACCCATGAACCCCCTAACCTTCCGGCCAGTTAAAGCAAGCAAACAGAAGCCCCAGAGTGGAATGTGGGAGAGATGCCCGTGTTCCGATGGTGTCAAGCGCACCGTTACCCTCAGGGTATGCCGTCTCGATCCGTTCAGTCTGAGGTCCACATGGAAAGTCGTGTCATGCATTAATTTAGAGCGCCTGAAGGTGTTCCCTGCTCTGATTCCTGAAGTGACTCTGTCTAAACACTTCCGATCTTTCCACCTATCCCTGTCATCGTGAGGCATGGCATCTCCCCAGTCTCCGCTGTTGTCTGGGCAACCCTGGACTCGCCCTCCCAGTCACAGCGGACACGCAGCTGTAGTGTGGTGGGCGCTGTCCCGCATCCTGCCCATGTTCGCATTTCTACATGTAATTGACGCACAGCTTTCAGACTGATTTTTAAGGTTGTATTGGACAACGCCCAGCAGCGGCTCCTCTGTGGGTGTCCTGCCCTTTCTGTCGTGGCCGCCTTGGGCAGTATGAATCCGTGCTGGCTCTTCCAGCTCCAGGTCACTCTCCAAGTCTGTCCCAGGGCTTGTGGCCGCCTGCGTTCCTCCTGGGGCTCTGACACTCCCTGTGCGCGTGCAGGGAGCGGTAGTGAAACTCGTTCCACCATGAACCTGCGTTCTTTTAGCTGGTGACCTCAGCTGTGCCACTTCAACCTTAGCCCAGCCGTCTCGGGTCGTCTGTCTCCCTTGCTCATTGCGTAACGTGCTGCACACTGAAGGTAGTGACTGCCAGGCTGGACGGTGGCCTGGCCATGAAACGCGGTGCTCCGTGAGGCTGGCGGGGGGAGGCCCCAGGTCCTGATCCAACAGCTCCCTGAGACCCCAGGGGTGTGTGCCCGTGACTGGGCTGACTGGCGCGGACCGCAGCGGTAGGTCTGTCAGGGGTGCCCATCTTGCTGTCTCTGTGTTTTTCACTGGAAGAAATAAAGTTTTGAAATATGGTGACCACTCGATCCCGAGTGTCCAGTGCGCTGTCCATAGCAGGCGTCTGGAGCCAGACCGCAGCGCCTGGCCCTCTGAGCTCAGCCCTGGCACCATGAAGCGTGTGGGGCATGACTGGAAATAGACTGACAGTAGAGTGGTGTGAAGTCGTAACACAGACCTCTGTTCGTCACTACTGCTACTTCTTTTCAGTTTAGAAAATATTTAAGTGTTTTTTTTTTTTTTTTTCTTTTTTAGGCATAAACTCTCCCCAAGCTTTAAAGAAAATTCTTTCTCTGTCCGAGGAAGGCAGTTTGGAGCGTCACAAGAAGCAGGCTGAAGATACGATATCAAATGCATCTTCCCAGCCCTCCTCCCCGCCCACGTCCCCACAGAGCTCTCCGAGGAAAGGTAGGGCCAGGCCCGGCAGGGCCCCTCGGGCACCCGCGAGCCTCAGCTGCCATGCCCTCCAGAGCAGGCAGTGCACACCACGCCGCTTAGGAGGGCGCCTGATCCCGTCCAGTGGACTGCTTTTCTTTCAGTTCATACGTTTTGGTGTTAACTTTTAAATGTTTTACTTGTAGTAAATACTGTTAAATTTATACGTAGGAAGTCTTTTAAAACTCTATCTAAATTTTTAAAATTGATCGTAAATATGGAAAAAAACCTTTATAATAAATTTTGACTATTTAGCATTAATACAAGGAGGGCTTTAAAACATGAAAAGCTAATACCTTTATTTTTTGCCGTATTAACACGAGTCTTGGCATCTTTCTGTTGCTGCTGTTTTAATTTTAGGCAATCGAAGTCTCCTCATGCTATTTTCATTAAAATGGCAATGTTTTCTGCCAAGTTACCCTCCCGGCGCCTTCCTCCTCTTCCCCTTTACAGTAAAGGAGAAAACGGGTTTGTTCAGTTTTCAAACAAGGAGAGAGACAGAGGAGAGTAGGCCGTTCTCACTGGGTCCTTGCTCTCAGCCCGCCCCCAGCTCAGCCATGGTCACCACGTCTGCGTGTGCGGTGTGCGGTGTGCACAGCGAGCCCCTGGATGTGAGCTCAGCACCTGCCTGTGTGGGCCGGCTGCATCACCACTGGGCCGCTGGCTGCCTCCTCTGCCTTTAACTGAGGGGGTACGCTGGGGCGCACGGCTGGCACGGCTTTCTCCCTGGGGAGGGCCAGAGCTGCGGGACAAGCTCTTGTTGACACGGACGTGCTGCCACGGCCTCTCGGTGCCGTGTAGCCAGGGGTCCCTGGAAGGCCCGCTCCAGCGAGATCTTTGGCTCTGAGCGGTTGGGCTCACCTGGTCCCTCCTCTCCTCTCCTCTTAGAAGCGAGGCAGTAACGGGGATAAGGAAGCCATGCAGGCCTGCGGGGGGTCTCAGAGCCACAGCGGGGCTGGGAGCGGGGCCAGCTTGCTGGCTACTCACATGCAAAGGCCCCACCCTGGCCCGCGTGCCAGGGCGGCCCTCCAGCAGGCTGCTCAGGGACGGCTTAGACCCGCCCGTCAGGATGTGGGGTGGCTCCCGTGAAAAGGCACTTCCTGGTGAACCCATTACACCCTAGCAAGACCCGTGGGGCCTTCCAAAATAAATCAGGAACGGCCAGTTTATGCAGAGGGCGGGAACACACTTAACCTGGCACTACGCAGGTGCTTTCGTTCTGCTTATAGTCGTGGTGTTGGGAACGTGCACGACAGGCCGTGACGTAACGCCAGCACTTAGGCGGCCCGCAGTCCTCGGAAACAGCAGGACGCGCACTAAGAGAATTTGGGTTTAAAAAATTTTTATATCTCAAGACATGGCTCTTCCCTGGTTACTTTTAACATTAGTTTAAGTAGCAAAGGGGCGTTTAGGGTCTCTTCAGGCAGGTCTTCAGGCAGGAAGTGGGCGCTGCCATCACCTGACAGGTGGGAAGTCACGTGCCCTTCAGAGCAAGGCCGTTGGGCAGGTCAGTGCCCACGCCGCCGAGGACTAGGTGCCGAACGCGGTCCCCACGTAGAACCGAGGCGTGAGACAGCCATACTGAAGTGCGGAAAATGGGAAGCGGTACCAACTGCAGCTTGGCAAACCCGGGCTGCTCGCTGGGCCAGGCCTCCTCCCAGCGCCCTCCGTGTAGACGGACAGTGGCTCCCCATAGCCGGGGCGGGCAGGACCTGTGCGGTGAGCCTGGGCCGCGTCCCGCCCGTGCTCTCACCGGACTTGCTGTCCGTGCTCCGCACTGAGCAGGCAGCGTGGTCGGGGTGGACGCTCACCTAGGAAAGCCCCCCAGGCTCTGTGCCGCGTTTATGTGGCAGCCCTCCCCGCCCGTGTTCACACCTGCGGTGTCTGACGCCACGCGTGTCTCGTGCAGGCTACACCTTGGCTCCCAGTGGCACCGTGGATAACTTTTCGGATTCCGGCCACAGTGAGATCTCTTCGCGCTCCAGCATCGTCAGCAACTCCTCCTTCGACTCGGTGCCGGCCGTGCTGCATGGCGAGCGACACCAGCGGCACTCCGTCAGCATCGTGGAGAGCGGCCTGGGCGGCGGCAGGGCCGAGAGGCGCACCGCGCTGGAGCCCGACCAGTACAGCTTGGGGTAGGCCCGGCTCGGCCCCGCGCCCTCCTTCCCGTCCCCGCAAGCCTCCTCCAGGAGCCTTGTCAGTACCTGTGTGTGAGGCTGAGAGGTGCTCTGGCTGGCCCAGTCCACGCGGTCCCTCGGACACGTGACCACGGGCTGGTCTTTGCTGGCACATGCTGTCTGGGTGAAGGCCGATGGTGGTGACCCTCACCCATACCCGTGCTGCCCGGGGAGCCGGATGCTGTGGACAGGAGAAAATGTCCCTTCATCACGGTGCAGTGTCGTTCCTCCCACGTCTGCTCTCCAGTGAAGTCACAGAGGGGCGGGCGGGGCAGTTGGGCCTCCACAGCCACAGGGTCGCTTTGGGGTGTGACCAGCCACAGGCCGAAGACGCTGCCTTGTAAATACAGCAGACAGTAAAGCCGACCTTAGCACGGCATGCACAGCAGGCACGCCCGTAGCCCTGGCACAGTGCTCCCTGTGCGTGACCCGGAGGTGGGCGAGGGCTCACGGAGTCACAGGGGTGTGCAAGCTCGACGCCGTTTTCTTTCACTTCACGAGGGGAGACGGTGTCAGTGCCCGCAGGCAGTGCCGCTGCAGGGCCCCCACCACCCTCGTGGCCAGCCCCCCCTTCCTGCACACGTGCCCAGGTATCGGGGCCCGCGGCCCTTCACGTGGCCTTCCTCGGGGGTGCCGGGCTTGCCGGGCCGCTCCGCGCTCTGGAGGGAGCTCGGGCGTCCGTGGACTGTGGGGCCGTGGGGTCTGGGACTGCCTGTGGGTGCGAGGGGCCCTGTGCTGGGGGGAGAAGTGCCCCCTGCAGCGAGCGCCTCTGACAGCACCGTGTGCTCTGCTGGCGTCTCCTCTCACCAGGTCCTACGCCACCATGTGTGAGAGCCGGGGCCTGTACGCGGCAGCCACAGTCATGTCCTCGCCGAGCGCGGAGGAGCTGTCCCAGGACCAGGGCGACCGTGCCTCGCTAGACGCCGCCGACAGCGGCCGTGGGAGCTGGACCTCGTGCTCCAGCGGCTCCCACGACAACATCCAGACCCCCCCCCAGCGCGGCTGGGG